ATCAGAAGAGGAAATATCTTGCACTGAGAATTATACTGTGTGGCCTTCTCCTCATTCTTGGCCTCTGGGTCCCTGCACATAAAGGGAGGATGGGTTTTCAATTTTTATTCTCCCAGATATAATTATAGGAAATTATTCTTTAACTGCTTTGGGGGTCAGATTCTCCATATATTCATAATCTAATAACTATGAGGAATCATTCTTGCCCTTGTATCACTATAGCTATCATTTAGAAAATTTAAAAAGGTCATTCCATGTAGACAGCAATGCCCTCCTGGAGACCTGGAGTCACTAGGAGAAACTGAGGTAAGAACAGCACGTATTCCCTGTGGTGAAAGGAAGCTCCAGGCTCTGAACGTGTTTTCACTTACAGATTCCCTGACCCAAGCTGCCTTTGTCATCTATTGCAACAGCACCAGGATGCTGGGAGCGCAAAAGTCTGGACCAGTGGTCCTCAAGCTTACCGGCAGCCTGCTTTTCTTTGTCAAGTCAGCAGGAGTGTAAATATTTAGGTACAGGCAGTCTTCAGAATACGCAATAGGAATGCTCTCCTTTCGGTTGGTGCAGAACTCTGACATTTGCTGCCCTCCCACTGGATCTTGGGAGCACCTGGGAGGGAAGAAGGACACCTGTGGTTTAATCAGGTTGAAGCTGAAAGAGGTGCATGTGGCTGGACCATTCTCTGGGAGGTTTAAGCTGAAAGAGAGCTGGTATCATTACACTGGAGTTACTACATGGGTAAAGTTAGGATTCTCTGTTTTCTCCCATGCAGAATACAAGGACTTGGCACATCTCCCCTTGCAGAAGACTTTGGGACACTCTGAGCTGAGGAAATGAGGTTTCCCGTACAGTTACCCCCCTTATGACATCTCCTATACTCCTAGGACAGGACTCTTTTCTCTGCAGGGCTTTGTACTGTGATCTGAAAGTGATCGTGCCCTAGTCTAGTTGGAAAGCTACATGAGCTCCTAATTTACATTACATATGACTGCAAAACTAGCTTCACATGGATGATTCCACGGTGTACAACTAGCTTCAGCTGTGGAAGGGATTCGCTGAACAAGGCTTTGATAGGCTGTGAATGCCTGGATGGCAGACTACCGTGAAAAGAATTCTGGGGAAACAATTCTGAAGGTGGCCCTGTGGAGCAGGGGGCTCAAGCTCTCTCTGATCAGATGAAAGCTTCATACTTCTGCATTGCGAGCCTCTGATGGATGGGGTCTTGTTAATTCCTGAGATGTCCTGAGGCATCTTTATTCTTTCCCAGTGCAAAGTACTTGGCTTCTTTTTCTTTTCTTTTCTAATTTTTAATTTTCTTAGTGTACATGTGGCCCCTTTTGGCCCTTGCACAGGCTCCTCTGTTCCACTCTTCTGGCTCCTTTCTCACTGCTGGTCACAGGGTAGGGGAATAGCTGACTTCACTTTCCACTTGTTGTCCTGCCAGCGCTCAGCTGCTTGAATCCTGTGTCTGAGATCCATATCCCCTCCTCCTGCCTGCTGGATTCAGAGCAGGTGGGGTCCTGGAGTTCCACTCACTGCCCTTACAGCCACCACTGCAGACCCCATGTGTTTTGTTGCTAGAGGTTTCAGGTAGCTGCTATGGTGCAGAACAAAGAAAAAAGAAAAAGTCACTGGTAGCCTGCGGGGAGGGAGCGCTTCCTGGCCACTAACCCCTGTGTGTGCTGGTGGGATCTGTTGCCAGGCTTCAGAGTCCTCTGTTTTCAGCACTGAAGAGGCGAGGGCCTTCTACTCCACATCTGTTCTGTGTGGATTGAGTTTGCCACACTTTTGAAGTCCACAGTTTTTTGGAACTTCGTGGAGTGGCAGTTCCCGTACTGCGGACCTGGGCCAGTGCCTTCCTGGCCACTAACCCCTGTGTGTGCTGGTGGGATCTGTTGCCAGGCTTCAGAGTCCTCTGTTTTCAGCACTGAAGAGGCGAGGGCCTTCTACTCCACATCTGTTCTGTGTGGATTGAGTTTGCCACACTTTTGAAGTCCACAGTTTTTTGGAACTTCGTGGAGTGGCAGTTCCCGTACTGCGGACCTGGGCCAGTGCCCCTAGCAGCTCTGTGGGCTGCTCTGCGATTTTATACAGCTCTGTACCAATACTGTGTTTGATAAAAGTGTCTTTCATTTGTTATCAAAATGTATGTTCTTCCCTTTCTTCCAATTACCTGTGTTTTTAGTTTAATTTCTCTGAGTTGCTCCAATGTGGTTCCTCCTCTATTCGGCCATCCTGAATTCTTATTAATGGCAACAATCTCTTCAGCAATGATATGTTCTTCAGACCTCCAATTGCACAAGCTTTAATCCTGATCAAATTACAAGTTTACAAACAACTTTAGCTCTGCTCTTTGATCTTTATTATTATTGCAAATCCTGCTAAAAGTGGTGAGCAATACCTCAACTACCAACTGACTACTGTGCTGTGTCAAAACTTTTTCCGCCTGATAAAACAGTCCATTACCTTTAAACTCAACTTCCTGAAAAGTCTTAGGACTTATGCAAATTGTAGACAATACTTTTTCAGAATTTAACGTGCATGGGTTCTAACCCAGGTCTCAGTAGTTTCCTTCATTTATTTTTAGAAACCTCTGTTTTCCTACCAGAATTCTGGTCTTCTGAGCTCATTAGGCTCCACTTACAAAGTTCTCAATCTTCTCTACTTTCCTTTTACAAATTTAAAAGTCCTCTACAAACCAGACTTAAAGTGTTCTGAACCATTTCTGTTACATCCTTCACCTGGTGGATAGCACTGCTCCCATTTGGGGCTCAAGTCACCCAGCAGTTCTCCTTTCCACCTGCCACTCTCAAGGGACACCCTCACACACACCCAGACGTGTCCTTTACAACTTCCTAGGTGTCCCTCAATCCAGTCCAGTTGCCATTAAGCAGCACACCTAGAATAAGTACAGTAGATTTAAAAGCGAGTAATAAAAGATGTTAGAGGAGAAGAACATTTAACCACTACAGGAGAGAGCAAGAGAGGAAGAAATGAAGAAAGAAATTCAGCCAAATCTAGTTTCCTTCATTGTGAAGCAACCTGAGGACTTTGTTCTTTCACACTTGAGTGGCCAGCCTTACTGAGTCACACCAACCACCCCTCTGCTGATCAGCAGGCGTGGAGACACACCTGGCAGTTGAAAACGGCAATGTCATGCAGCTTCCAGTGCACCTCTTCACCTACCTCTGGGCCATGCGAAGGTCACAGTCTGAGCTCTGATAAGATCAGTACTTCTTATCTTCCTCCTCTACCCACCTACAGCTTTTCACCCTTTACAGGTCACATAATAACATGTCACACCATTTCTGATTCGATGTACATTTTGTTTTTTCTGTATCTGTACTTGTAGAATGTAAGTTTCCTGAAGAAATGGAGCTTTGTTTTGTTCACTGATGGATTCTGTGAAGCTAAAACATGCCTGGAACACAATAGATGCTCAATAAATAAGTAATGAATAAAAGACTCCAGAAAGGTGAGACAGATATGGAATATTTACAAGTGTTTAGAGTGTTCATGAGGACTTCAGGAGAAAATGCATGCTAACAAGAGAATTTCCTTCCCTGCTTCTGCAACAGTTTGACATAAATATCTGCACTGAGAATGGCAAAGCCACCCACACCTACTTACATGGGAGGGTAAGAGGTGGTGTTCTTCACGTTGTCCCATGGCTCCGGTGGCTGTGGAGGAGCAAACCTCAGGGATCCGAGAGGGGGCTTGGCAAAAGGGACTCCCAGGAAAACGGCCACAGGCTGTGCAACTCCTTGCAAGCTGACGTACTTTCCAAGGACTTTGCCATGCACGGTGTCCACCACAGGTGGTGAGGATGTGTGTCCTGCTGGACATGGAGAGGTATTGAGATCATGTCAGAAGGGAGAAGTGAGGCCCAGATTCCAGGTGTTGTGCCACTCTTCAGGCATGTCACCTTGAATAAGTCACCTAAAGCTTCTAGGCCTCTATCTCTTCTCTTATAAAATATGCATAAGGGAAATTTGTCCCTTCTAACTCAGAGGGCTGAGGGAGTAAAGTAGAACCAAAGGTAGAAATGCATCCAGCCAAATACCACTATAAAAGGAGAGGTTCTCAGACAGTTGGTTTCCCTTTTAGAAACCTCTGCAAACATTTATCCATTGGGAGACTGGAGTCTAACTGCATGCTGGAGAAGAGGATGGACAAGTGGTGTCTCCCGTCCTCAGGAGGGCACAGGTGTACTGGGTCCAAACTGCTGAGGACCAAGGTTGTGTCCTGGGTGTGGAACCACGAGAATGTTCCAGGAGTTGAAAGAAGCAATAAGGCTTTCTGCATGAGGACCTCCTGCAGCAGCTAGAACTTGGAGCAGGAGAGGCTGAATAAGCGTAAGTTGGAGGGGTCTATAAAAAGCAGACCCGAGAGAATACACAAAGGAAGGAAACCAGAGACTTGCTGAGGAAGAGAGAATTTGCTGTGAATGTCACCACACGAAGTCCATGGCAGTGGAAAATTGTCCTGGAATGAGTGTTTTCATGTCAGGGAGGGCCTTGGTATGAGAGATTGGGTGTCATGTAGAGAACAGATAAGCAGTTCTGGAGTAAAGGACACGATGAGACCGTGGAATGTTCATTTTCTGGTTCTGAGCAGAAACGTTTAGAGTGGAGAGAGATTTCGGGCCAGGTTCCTGCCTGCTCATGTTGCTCCTTTCTTGTAAGGAAAAAATTTCTTTTTCATTTTCCTGAAACTTTATCAGTCCTGATTCTGATGCAGAAGCAGAGTGAACTGATGTGATCATCTATCCTGAGACAGGTGGGTTATCAGACCACTGGTAATAGTCATCCCTGAAGATTTTTCTTACCTAGACTTTCTAACTTTGGTTTCTAAGAGTGTCCCTCATCAGAGATGATTTGTATCTTTTGTTCTCCAGGTGTTATTCCTTGGATATAGAAAACACGTCAACATATTCCACAAAATGTGGGTCCAGAGAGTAGAGTACATTTAATTCAGTGGAAGAAAGGCTCATGGAATGACAACCAGGTCATGAGAAAACAGGTTGCACTATGGAATCTGTATTGTAACGTAACAACCACCATGTTCTTAATGTGGACAATTACGTTATTGGTTCTTTTTGTTGCTAGTTATTCCAAATAACACCAAGGTGAATATTCTAGGATAAATGTAGACATTCCTTGATTTATGATGCATTGATTCAGTTGTTTTCACTTCTGACTTTTCAACCTTAAGATCTTGAGTGTATCAGGGTACAAAATTGCTGTCAGATGAAGAATACATCAAGGAGAATATCCAGAAATACAGGAAATTCTTTGCCAAGCGAAAATGCCAGATTACAAATTTATCTTAATGTCATGTATCGTTGAGAATAAATTCTTGCTCGATTCCATGTTTGGTTCCTAATTATTACCATCAACATTAAGATGTACTTCTTAGAAGAATATACATTGAGTTGTAAATTTAGAGGTAACATTGCAGAACGCTATGTTTGTGCATCCCAAGATTTGTGCATTGCAGATAGAGCCATGTTTCCAAAGACAGAAATTATGAAGAAATATGAAGAGGTAAATGGGGCATTTTAAAAGATTTGGTCTTCCTGACCAGCTGTCAGCACTGTGGAAGGGAAAAAGCACTGAACAATGGTTTTATGATGCTGGTTCCCTTTTAAACATGTTTAGTGAGGAAGTCAGTGCAAATGTTTTTCAGAAAATGCATTTCATCATAGGCATCTCAAAAAGTAGAAGGAAGCATTGCAAGGCAGGGAGAGACATCTCCGTCAGTGAGGGTGTGACTTCACTGCATACCATTTTGAGAGAAGAGAAAGAGCTGAGAATAAAACACAAACACAACTACAACAGAGACTGAGAGCAACCACCAGAGTGGAAGCTGGAGAAGGGCACGGCATCGTGGAAGCCCAGGAAAATGTGCGGAGTGGGTGGCAGAGGCACTGAGGGCTTCAAAGAAGCGAAGAAGGATGCAATCAGATCAGAAATCATGAGGTACAGCCTGTATTATCTCAGTGCTGGCCTTTAATCCAGACGAAATCTGTAGAAACCAGATTTCCCAAGGTGATAACGAAATTTACTGCAGTAGAAGTAATGAATAAGAATGATAGAAACAGCAATTACCACTCAAATTATGTGGAATATGTGTATTTTCAGCTCTATTTTTGGGATATGCTTTCCATTGCCTTTTATGTCTCAGTAAAGATTTGCTTAGGCGATTATTATTATTTCCTCTTAACAGATGAACAAACTACGCAAGTGGAAGCAGACTGTATGGGCGTCATACAGATGAAAGTGGGGTGAAATTGCAGTGGTAACCAGTAAAGGAATGTTTCACTCCAGTTTTGGTCCTTTCTCATTGTCTAGCACTCAGTTCAGGCCTCTCACACTATCACATGGCCAGAAAGAAGTTAATCCATGCGGGGCCTAAATACTGCCTCTGGCTTCAGGAGCCAGATAGAACACTACACCATGATTTTCCGGCCAACACTGCACAAGTGTATTCCCCAGATAATCCGTTTCTCCCTCCATACAATGGCACAGGTGTATGCTAAGGTCCCTTACTGATAACTGTGGATTTTATTTTCTTTATCTGGTGATTAGATGTGTGATGTGGGCTAATCCTGGAGGAATTCTCACTCTTAGGATCCAACCAATTCAAAGCGCATACTCCATCCACTTCCTTATGATGTCTCATAAGGCATGAGACGTTCTGAGATAGCTCGTGAGCGCCCCAAATGCACGGAAATATCTCCACCTCCAATCACCATCTTCCTCTGCCTCCTCTCTTCCAGGGAAAACAACAGTGAAGAATCTGGCCATGTCACCTTGTCCTTCTGCTTCCTGACTGACGCTGGTGTGTCCCCCATGCTTCTACCAATAGATATACCTTTGCATCTGGGGAACAGTTAGTAAGATCATCTTTTGCCCCAAATGCACGGAAATATCTCCACCTCCAATCACCATCTTCCTCTGCCTCCTCTCTTCCAGGGAAAACAACAGTGAAGAATCTGGCCATGTCACCTTGTCCTTCTGCTTCCTGACTGACGCTGGTGTGTCCCCCATGCTTCTACCAATAGATATACCTTTGCATCTGGGGAACAGTTAGTAACAGATCATCTTTACACAATGGCTCCTGATTTGATTATACCATGTGTCAAATTTTCTATTACTATAGTTCATTTTAAATCAATCCCTTTGCTTGTCCTTCCCTTTCCTATACCTTCTGTAGACCAGGAAAAACTCGAAGCACTTTAGAAACAACAAATTATTTCATTTTAATACAGCCCAATGAACTATGTAGAATGGTAGGATCCTTATTCTAGAGTAAACCAGGCACAACACAGTTACGTGCCTTCCCTAGAGACATACAAGTCAGTATTCTGCTTAGCACCTCCCATGATTTGGCCAGATCTGGACTAAGATTCAAGAGGGGAAGAAAGCAAACTCTCTGTATTTCTCATGTGCGAGGCGTGAGGTTGTCTCTGTGCCTTCCTGTGCCTGAGGCCTGAAGCCTGCAGTCTCAGATGTTTTTCTCTTCCTGAGTCTCTGCTGGCTGCCTGACCTCAAGGCCTCCAAATCAAATCAGAGTGTAAGCACTGCTGAGGAACTGCAATTGTCAAGCCCTTGCCCTACACACATACCTCCCCACCTGTGCTCAGCACACGGATTTCTGAATGTACCCTCATGTATGTATTTCAGAAGGACTCACCTGAAATTGTGCAAACAGTGAGAGAGGCCAGGACCACAGCATACAGCCACATCACAGAAGGGTGATAGATCTGGAGCCAGTGAGGTCTCTGTGCTATGCCTAGGATGTATACTGCTTCTGCCCAAGAATTTGATACCCATGTAATATCCTGCTCACTTATACCAACTGCATAATCTCTTATGTTTGAAGAGAGCTCTCCCTTATCCAATGAGGTCTCTGAATGTCCTTTGGAACCTCCAAACCACACCCACCTAGTGTTGACCTAGTTTCATTTGAACACTGTTTTTCTTTTTCTTTTTTTTTCTTTCAGTACAGGGATCAAACTCAGGACCTTGTACCTGTGAGTCAAGCACGGTGCTGAACACTCCTTTTTAAACTCTCAGATTTCATATGGCCAAAATGTCCTCTGTCAACTTCTCATGTAAGTCTTTCTCCCTTGTAGAACTCTAACTTCAGAGTGCTTCAGTAAGCTTGCTAAACTCAGACGGCAGCAGGCAGCTACTTCAGGAAAGACAAATCTTTGGTATGGGGTCCTCAAAGCAAGCAGGAATATTTTAGAGCAAGAAACTTGTTGTAGAGCTGCTCACTAGAAGAGTAGGACACATCTGAAGTTTCTCTGGGCTAGCATTTCGGAGTTCTAGGTTCACATGTTTGCAATCATAGCTTTCATTCAGTTCCTTTTTGTTGTTGTTGTTGTTGTTTTTTGAGAAAGGGTCTTGCTATGTAGTTGAGACTGAAGTAGAACTCACTATGTAGCCGAGGCTGGTTTTTGGACTCACAGCAATCCTCCTGACTCAGCCTCTTAAGTGGTCGGATTACAGGTTTGAGCCACCATGTCCCACCCCAGTTCCTTTTCTGATGCTTCAGTTATCTACAATATTCCTACCACATAGTCCAGCCTCCTGTCATACTAGGACAAAGGAACTCACTATCATCCATGGCTGGAATTTTCAGACAGAAAGTGATTATGGTATATGAACACTATCTCTCAAAGTCCTTGTCTCTAGTCATCCATTCCTCCATTTATCTACTCATTCTTCAACACAATGCCTGATCCCTGTTTAAATATTGTGGAAACAAAAGCGTAGTGAAGATAAGGTCCTTCTTTTCAAGGAGCTTACCATGACCAGGGACAGCGAGTAGCAGTGAATGTGAAAGCACCAAGTTATGGGGATACAAAGCTGTGTGTTTGTGCCTGGAAAGAGCTAATGAATGAACAAATCCAATGTGACTGACAGGTTCGCGAGTTGGAACCCAGCCCAAGCAAAACCATCACCTGCTTCCATAGGAGCACAGAGATAACAGAAAGCCATCAGCTGCCCTGGTGCTCTCAACACCACTATGTTTATCAGCCAAATCCAGGCCCATTACCCATGAGACTAAAATTTTCCACCTACTCAACCAGTACCCTCTCCCTTACCTACACTACCCTGTATCAATTGCACATACCCTCCTATCAGTGCCAAGGACTTTCTCACCCTTGGCTCTTCTGCACCCAGAGGACAATAAGCTAATCATATGCAACTTATATTTTGTCTGGCCTCGGTGGTCTCAATCGTGCCTCAGTCTGACTTTACAGTGATCATACAGTCTGTAGTCTTGACCACTATACTGTGGTGCTCTATATCTTTGATAAACCAAAGGTGTGGGTGTGCTAAGTACACACTTCACTGGTCCATAGGAATAGCCTCTGGGGTAGCCTCTCTCCTTGGGTGGACTCCTCTGTCTGCACCCATTACAGTGCCTACATATTCTTGCTGATCCCACCTGGATCTTCCAGGCTGCCAGGAAGTCCAGCTTTTATGTGGAGCTATGAAGGAGACAGGTGTTCGGAAAGTCCTACTATGCTTGCCGGAGGCAATGACTATGTGGCTGAGGTGCTCATTTTTCTGGGAATGCAGAGCCTAGCCAGTAATCACATTGCCCCTCCACCTGGTATTTACCTGGGATTATAGAATAGTAATTAGAGGCAAAGTAAGAGCCATGTAAGACAGGGCTATCTTCAGGCCAGTGTAACGAGGAGGCAGCTGAGCCTTCTCCACACACTGTGTCTCCGTTATAACCACTTCCAGGAAAGGCTCCAGCTTCCAGGGCATTGATGGTGAACTTTCCAGAGCTCTAAATGATACAAACAGCCCACTGCCGCAGGGATGCCACAGATTTAACACTGCTCTGGGGATGTGGAAGTTATAAGACTAATCTATCACAGTGTTTTGGACTTTATGAAAACAAGGAATACATTTCTGTTGTGTTTGAGCCACTGTACAGCTTTGCACAGCTAACCCTTACAATTGCAGGCAGATTGCATTTGTCAGCTTCTATTTAATAACTTGTAATCAGTGACATAAGGACTTTTTCATTTTGGCTTCTATTCCCTCTTCTTACAGACAGTGAAATTAGTTAGAAATTATTAGAAGACACTTGGAAAATGGTGGGCCTTCAGCACAGAAAACTATTGAGGCACATTCACTAAAGGGTCAATGTTCCAAAAAGAAAGAAACTACTACACCTGCCTACTTCCCCTGGGGATGAATAGCAGTGATTGATATTATAAAAAGACCTCAGTCATCTTAATTGGGGACCAAACTATCCCTAGCTAGCCTATTCCTTCTAGGAAATGCATGTACACTTGCTACGTGAGTAGCTTCCCCATTTTATCTTCATTTAATCAATATTATCTGGGTGACTATTTGTAATTTTATGAGTTGATGGTGGTTTTGTCCTATCTCATAGACACCTTGTGATTTTCCATTGTGTCTTACATTTTTTTCCCACTTTGTAACTGCCTCACTTCATGGCTTTGCCTCATAAAGCATCTTTGAGAGGCAGGATGGGTGTACTACCCACTTTCTTGTTCCACTTATGTCTCTCTTAGACAGAAGCTATCTTTGTCTTAATAAATGTTTCCTACTCTTGACCTCTGTTGTTCCTAGAATTCATACTTCGATTTTATAAAACATGAGCTCTAGTTTTAGATATCTAGCAGGTTGAGAGTTTTAATATTTCCCTTGTTTGGATTATTTTTCTTATTTGGATTACTTGGTGCCTTATATCACTCTGATGAGCACATGTGCACACAGTCACACAAACTCGTTCATGGAATTTTGAACCAGGTTGGTGTTGCTCTTGATGGCTGGCCATTCTCTTTGGTCTATACAACTTCAGTGCTCTCAGAAGAAGAAGAAGTTTTGCATACCTAGAAAAATATTTCATATGCCCATGAAGGGCACATGGTTTGAGATAAGAAGAAAGCTGCAAGCCAAGGAAAAAGTCCTCAGAGAAAACCAAACCTACTGGCACTTTGAGCTTGGACTTTTGGCATCCAGAACCATAAGAAAATAAAGCTATGTTGTTTAGGCCACATAGTCTACTACATATTGTAATGGCAGCCCAAATCAACTAGTATATCAACCTAACCCATTGCTTTTCTTCTGGACCAGGGGTAACTAAGGCCCTGAGATGAATAAACATTACCTACGGTTGCATAGCAAGTCAATATCAAAATTAAAATAAAAACTAGAGGCTTTTGGCTTTTACCACATTGTGGCTGATGATGCTTCTGCTGCTTAACACATTGTGGTGGTGCTCAGACTATCAGACTGATTTCAAGGCAAAACACCTCGATTTAGTTTGTATTGTCTGCACGTTGACTCAGATTGAGGAGTGGAGGGGGTCAGGTAAGAACACAAACAGCAGCAGGTCCAGGGGGAGATGAGTTCTGTTTTACCAAGATGACATGACAATATTTTCCTCATCCAGAGAAGGCTAATACTGACAACAAGAAGTTTTAGTCAACCAGCAGCCATTAAGAGCAAGTGGATCACAAAGAATGTCATGAGTTCTGGCCAAAGATGATAAGTTTTTACTGACATGCTGCTTCTGGAAACCCCAGGTAACAAAGGATTCTTTCATCAGCACTCATTGCAACTACTGGGAAGCCTGGTGAGGGAGAGCTCTGTACTGAAGGGGAGGTCTTTGTCACAACAGTAGCATCAGTCCCCAGAGGTAATTGCTGCTTTCAGAGATAGACTTGGGCTTCTGCTCCTCCCTTCCATTTATCCAGGTCATAAAGAGCACCCTACTAAAAACTCCCTGTCTCCATTCTTAAGTGACAATCTGGAGGATTTTTCTAAGTAGACAGCAAGGACATTTTCTTTACTTAGCACATAACACACACTAATACACCACCTTATTAACCATACTGGCTTATCCACAACCACATGGACCTTGAAACCTGGCAAACAGCCTGAGATCTTGGCCAATAAAAAGTGTACAGTGCTGCCTTTGTAAAACATACTTCCAAGGATGAATGAATTATTCTCCCAATTCATTGTTTAATCACAGGCTTACTTGTGACTGGAGTCTGCAAACATTGGCAGCCCATTCTAGACCTGCCTGCAGCTGGCTATGTAAATTCCTCATGTACATTTCTGAATCATTATGATTCAGCAGAAAAGATAGGTGAAGCTGGCTCTTACAAGCAGCACTTTATGTCTGTCCTTTAATGAACTTATTTCTCTGTGTCACTTTAGCTGCAGGGGTTGCTTCTCTTTTTTGTTTAAGTACCAGATGTTTGAGAATATTTATTTTTCCATTGTTGAACCTCCTATGTTTATTCATGTGAGTCTATATGATCTAGAGAGTAAAATCTTAAGAACTGACCTTAAGTCCTAAGAAGTTAGGCAGGACTTGGGAGAGTAGGTGTATCTGGGGGCTACAAATGAGTGCCCAATTTCATACAACACATATGGAGCACATGTGTTATAACAGGCACTAGATAAGAGCAAGCCTATGTCCTACTGGCCTCTGCACTCAGCCTTACGTATAAATCATGGGATTAATCAGGTTTAGAATGTAGTAGAGAAAGCTGTACTGGTAGAGTGGATGTCAGTGAATGTACTGGGTGACATAGGGCCTTTTTTTTTTTTTGAAAGAGTGGGCTAAATGTAGGTTACTAGGAGTAAGATATTTTCTCTTACACTATTCACCTCGATACTTCAAAAATCTTGAATTGTGTGATCGCTTACAATGAAATTTCTTGTTGGTACATATTCCAGACACTGGTGAGGGAGAGCCCTGTGATGATAGTGAGTACTTTGTGACAGATTAGAATCAGTCTGCAGAGGAAATAAACTCTTAGAGCATGCTAGGGGCTGCTGCTACTCCCTTAGTTTCATCAAGGAAAGAAACATTGATCATAAAGAGAG